ACGTAAAATCTTCCGCGCTTTCCACTTCCGGGGTAAAAAATAAGGGGTTCCGTTCAAAAAAAATCGATTTGACCTTAAAATGATCTTGAAGGTCGAGGTCAAGGTCAATGTCATGGTCACATGCGGACGTGAAATCTTCCTCTGTTTCCATTTCCGTGATAAAAAATGATGGGTTCCATTAAAAAAATCGACTTGATATTAAAATGACCTTGAAGGTAGCGGTGAAGGTCAAGGTCATATTCGGACGTAAAATCTTCCGCTCTTTCCACTTCCGGGTTAAAAAATAAGGGGTTCCATTTGAAAAAATTGACTTGATATTGAAATGACCTTGAAGGTCATCGTCAAGGTCAAGGTCAACGTCACCATAAGTTAGCCTTGTCGGTACCCTACAACTTTTGTATAAACAAATTTCCTCCAAAATGCTTACCATCCGAGATATTCCTATCCGTTATTTAAAATGGGACACCCTGTATACAGTGCCCGCCAAAAGTTCCGAGCCAGCTGAATATTTTGGAAAGTATGCATTTTTGTGAAAAATGTTTTAAACAAAAGTTGTAGAGTTTCAAAAGATCTATTTACTGATGATATTACTTTGACATTGAGTGGCGTTGTCAAGGTCAAATCAAGATCACATTGATTTTTTAAAATAGAACATCCAATTTTTCATTGCATATTCTTATAGCACCTCTTGAGAGCTTTCCAAAACACTATAATACAATATTTTTTCATGATTATTTATTGAATATAATTCTTGAAAGTTACAGTATCACCGGCATTAGCATGGTCCAAAGTGTCCGTGTGCCAAACATTGGCTAAAACCTTTTGAATGTTGTTCAAAATTATGACGTAGATAATATTTTTACGTAGAGATGAAAATAAGCGGAACAATCTTTAATGGCCTTGACGCACGCGCGCGTAACTTTCAAGTATTATAATTCGAAAAGTGATTATGAAAAAATATTGTATTATAGTGTTTTGGAAAGCTGTCAAGAGGTGCTATAAGAATATGCAATGAAAAATTGGATGTTCTATTTAAAAAAATCGATATGATCTTGATTTGACCTTGCCAACGCCACTCAAGGTCAAAGTAATATCATCAGTAAATAGATCTTTTGAAACTCTACAACTTTTGTTTAAAACATTTTTTGCAAAAATGCATATTTTTCAAAATATTCAGCTGGCCCGGGACTTTTGGCGGGCACTGTATATTAACAGTATATTTAAAATAAGTGGATTTGTGAAATAAATATTTTAGTAAAAAATATTTGGTTATCATCGTTATCACTTCAAGTTATATAGAAAGTGGTAACGAAGACACAATCAAAGATTTTTCACTTACGTCATATCATCTATATTTCTTTCAAAAAGATGTAAATGTACGTTTTAGATATTGATGCTAGTACGTTAAGAAGCGAAGTTCTAGATGAATTGACAGAAAAGAGCAACCAGCAGGGTACGTTTGATTAATTCTTAGTTGCATTTTTGTA